GGAAAATGTAGAAGAAGAGCAATGAGAAGGGAATGGAAAATCCGGGAGTAGGATGGAACGAAATTGAAAGAAGCGTGCTGTAATGAAATAAAAAACAAAAAAACAAAAAAAAATAGTACGCCGTGGAAGAGGAAAATCGAAGAAACAGGATAGACTCATTTACGCGTCGATGCGTCCAGAAACAACCATGAGTGGTACTATACCAGCGCCTGGTCATGTGAATAGTCTGAAAATGCCAATACGAGGAAGCCCATTGTTCGTCAGCGGTCGGAGGGAAGAGGAAAAACAACGACTGCCGCGCGTGCTTCGCGTACAACTTTCGAAGCGTGGACGTCCGTTAACGATGGCGGAAAAAAAAAAGAGGAAAATACCGACTATACAGCGTTTGGGTATTAAATGTCCACGGTTCGGGAATACCTTGTTGATAACCGTCGAAAATCTATAACCGATACGTTGATGTCGAGGGAACTGGGAATTCCCGCGAAAAGAATTTAATTACGGATCCCGATAAACTGGCCGCACAGACGCGAAACAATACCTCGTGGAACTGAAATAATTGATTCTCAAGTCGAAACGTCGAAGGGAAGAAATTCTAATAGAATTCGCGAGTTTTAGGAAGGTTACGAAGGTTCCTGCGCTCGCCGCCAGAGGGCCACGACGTTCTTGTCTCTCCCGTATGAGCTCGACCGTCCACTCGTTTATACATATATGCTACTCGAGTGTCCATTCAACGTCCTGGCGTCTCTAGCTTTCTCCATACAGCGAGCCAGTACTAAGGCAAATTGTAAGCTATACGTAGTTTACAAATTGTCTCGAAACATCTCAAAGATGGATTTCTAATGTTTGCAAGTGGAATGTAATTAAATAAAAATATATTTGATCTTAAAGTTTTTACAGCGTTCCTTCCAACAGTCGATAAAACAGTTCTCGACGACGGTTCGTGGTTGAAATTAAATCAGAAAACTTTCCTCTCTCTGCACCTCTCGGGGGTGTTCCGTTTATATATTTATCGGTATTTTTCTACGCTCGATTATTACTCCCGTAGGGGGAACGAATCTCGCACCCGGTTTTCTGACCGCGATAAATTATTTCAGGGTACCCCTTTGTAGACGTATCCCATCCGCTCTAGTTACGTTCAGAGTACATCAATATCAAGGAATCCCATTATTCAGTAACAAGTAGATAGATAAAGATAAAAAATAAATGAAGAGGGACGGTTCGAGGCGGCGCGCGTGAGGTATAAAAGAGGTTATGAAACGAACCAGCGGTGCGAGTAATAAAATGGAGTCCCGAAGAATGGGGAATTGAAATTTTAAACAAGTCGCGAATAACGCGAATCGAGGTGTGCAAGATAATTGGTCCAATTCTAAAATACAATTCTCCTCGATTGCACGTGGAAGTGTCTACAGGTTAAGTTCGTCGCGAATAGGGGGGAGTTGGAAGACGTCGAGCGTCGAAATTCGAGCGTACAAATTGGTTTGTTCAGAGATTAAGACGCGCGGACTTGTTTGTTCAGGACTTACGAGCAGATCTGTTTCTAAGATATAATATTCCGAATATGGGCGTAGTGCCAGAGTGGGGGGCGACGACGCGGTTGGGTTAATTTGCAAAGCCTTCGGTTTATAGGGGATGACGATCACTGTGTGTTCGAGTCGCTAACAATATTCGGTTAAATTGGAGCAAGGTGACCACCGACATCTAACGGGTCGCCCTCTCGTACCGGACTAATAAACCTTTAATAACGGTTTCTTGAATTATAAATAAATCCTCGAAGCTAGAAATTTTAACGAGATGCAAAAATTAAATCTAAAAGAAATTTTTAAATACAAAAATTCAAAATAAAATAATTTCAAAATATAAAATAATAATTTCAAAAAATAAAATAATAATTTCAAAAAATAAAAACTATGTAGAATGGAATGTATGGTAACATGGTTTATAAATTTGAATACTATAGTAATTTTGCATCACAATGTAAATGAATGCTATATGAAAGTCCACAGATTGTCCACGAAAACGAAACTTTGTTTTTGGACAATAATATATATTTACAAATTCATATTTGTCATAGAGGTTATTTTTACAGTTATTCTTCAATTTTTTAGCTCCTTGATGGAATCGAGTATGAGAAATATTTGCATTTCTTATGCAAGTGTGATGTTAGCCATTGTAAATATATGCTTGTAAACTATAATAGTAGTGTGATCGTATTGGAAGATTTGACATTGCATTCAATGGAGGACGTTTCATCGAAGATAAGCAATCAAATAATTGTTCGTGCACGGTGGAGGTCCAGGAGACTGTAATTAGACGAATTGGCATAGGTTGAACCAGTATCAAGTGGAATTACCTACCATATGTCGGACACTATCTACACGTAAACTGTGTTAAGTTTGTACCATTGAAATATTTCACAAAAAAATCGTTTTTTTTTTATAATATTCGTCGATACGTTGTACTTTGTTCTTTGTAAATTTTCCAAATTATTAACTATGCAAACAAAAACTAATCGAATATGATTTCAGGAAATTATTTCAGAATTTTCATTTGGGAATTTGACTTTCAGTCATTTTTTTCTTTTTCAGAGATTTGAAATCAGAAATAGTGGTTGAAATAATTTGTATAAAAAATAAGAGGTTAATTGTGGTTCCATTAATGCTTGTAAATTCCATCCTAGGCGTCAAATTGATTAAACGAGACCGTCGAATACCGTGTATAGGTAAAATCTAATATTAGATAACGTGTTGTAATACAGATTTGGGGTCTAACCCTTGGCTAGAATATTGATTTTACTCTTATAGACGAATATATGGGAGCCCAGCGGCCATATGCGTTATACAAACTTATATAAAACAGTGATTTTACTGGAATTAAATTTTTTTGGAACAGCTACGAGCACTTCTCCATCAGTTTCAGAAATTGCCATAAAAAAAACATATATTGAAGTTCCTGAGGGGCCCCTGTTTGATATGCCAAGGGTTAAACAGGGTTTCTGTATTCGTTCTATTATTATTAAATTCAACAGGAATTTTCAAAGCCGTTGCTCGTCTGCACCGCTTGGAAATAATATTTATTTTCATATCTTCAACCCTCGGCGTGATTCTGGGTCTTCTCCACCCCCGGTTTATCTTTCAAACTGCCACTATCAATAAAACGTTTTACAGTGCTCTGAACGTCCTTTCCGTACTTCCCTTGCGATATTCCACAATTGTATTTCTGGACTCAATATTTATTTCCACCGGTTTTTTTTTACTTCGAATCAATCCTTCTGCAAATCAAATTCATCCCCTTTTCACGGTGTCTAAAAGAAAAAAAATTAATTTATAATTATTATAATTTGCATTGCTCTCGTCACAATGAAATATCAAATTTTTTTCGAGTAAAAAAATTGAACAGAAATATTACCAGTTTGTATTTTCAACGAGAAAAGTTTCGACAATTTTTCATGGAAGAGATTAATTCTTTGAATTCTTTTGCAGAAATGCTTTGTACTTCTCTCAGAGCTTTCAGACATTTTTCGACGTCCTCGAGCGGCCATCTTTTCCGCGACCCCCAAACGGACCTTACATAAGTACGTCGCTTACACTCAGTTATTATACGCCAATATCTAGAAACCTATTGTTTCCCCGCGAACAAAGGGGAGCCGACAGATAAAGGGGCCTGGGCGTGTATTTGACACAAAAAATTGGAAATTGAATCTAGTATCCGTCGACGTATAAAAATGGGAACGGATAAGGGGAATCGATTGTTGGAGTTAATTATCATTACGGACCACGGTACCGTGAAATTAATCGATCATTTCATTATCTACCAAATGTTGACTCTCGTCCCTTTGAAGGGTAGTTACTTTTTATACGAAGGAACATTTTTTCAGATGACAATCTATAATTATTATTTGAGTTCTAGTCAGTTTGCTTTGTCTACGTCCCTAAGTGTACTTACGCTTTTCTCTTTTTAAAAATTAACTAAATCTGGAATATTAATATACAGGGTGTTCAACCACCCCTCGAAAAAATTTTGATGGAAGTTTTTAGAGGCCAAAATAAGACGAAAATCGAGAATACTAATTTCTTGGTTGAGGCTTCGGTAAAAAGTTATTAAAAAATTAAATTGAAAAATTTCAAATGATTCTAAAAAAATTATTTTTGATTGCGTGGGTCGATTACGATCATTTTTGGTCAACAGACATATTTTCGAAATCCTATGCACTTTCGAGAAAAAAATTCGAGTAGGTGGACAAACTTTTCGGCGAAATTAAAAAGATTGATATGATTCTGGAAAAATTATTTTCGGTTGCAGGGGTCAATTACAATAATTTTAGGTGAAAAGATATACCCCCGAATTCCTATGCATTTTCGAGACAAAAATTCGAGTAGATGGTCAAATTTTTCGGCGAAATTAAAAAGTTTGATATGATTCTGGAAAAATTATTTTCGGTTGCAGGGGTCAATTACAATCATTTTAGGTGAAAAGATATACCCCCGAATTCCTACGCATTTTCGAGAAAAAAATTCGAGTAGATGGTCAAATTTTTCGGCGAAATTAAAAAGTTTGGTATGATTGTGGAAAAATTATTTTCGGTTGCAGGGGTCAATTACAATCATTTTTTATGAATAGACATACCCTCGAAATCCGACGCATTTTCGAGAAAAAAATTCGAATAGGTGGTCAAATTTTTCGACAAAATTAAAAAGTTTGATATGATTCTGGAAAAATTATTTTCGATTGCGGGGGTCAATTGCAATCATTTTTGGTGAGCAGATATACCCTCGAATTCCTACGCGTTTTCGAGAAAAAAATTCGGTAAGTGGACCAATTTTTTGTCGAATTTAAAAAGTTTCAAATCATTGTAAAAAAATTATTTTCGATTTCAGTAGTCAATTACAATCACTTTTTATGCATATACACATCCCCGAATTCCTACGCATTGTCGAGATAAAAATTCGAATAGGTTGACAAAGCGTGCCACACTTAGAATTGTACATCGATGGTTTACGAACCTTATGAACATGAAGACGCCAGTGGGCACCAGCGCTCTGAACACAGCTTTCCAGCTCGCCATAACCGTAAATTTCTGCTTCGCCGTTAACGGAAGTCGCGGATCCGTGGCGGCTTGGGGCGGCGTCTTCACGGTCGCCAATTTCCCAAGTTCGCAGCCCATGGTCGGGGGATCGGTTTTCTTCCTTCCACGGGAATAAAGAAGCACCAACACCACGACGGAACGATTCCTCGTTGAATCGAACAATTATTACGCTTTCCGGACCTAAATCCGAACCAGGGTTCGCCCGCCCCCCCCAATCGAGCCTCGTTAACCTTCGACTGGCATCGACGACACCTGATAGGAACCAATCCGATCGAAAAAAAAAAAAAAAGAACGGCCCGACACTTTTAATTAAGCAGCCGTTTCTCCCGCGAACTCACGGAGTTACCGTTAACAACCGTTTTCTCGGATATTCGTTCAACGCCGTTACTCGAACGAACACACCTCGAACACCGTCGACGATTCGGTTACCATTGCACGAAAACGAGTCTACTTTTCGATCGGGAACGTCGAACCATCCACTCTCGCGGTTCCTATTCGTTCATTCTTCGGCCGCCATTCACCCCCGACGGTCCCTCAACGTTGATTCCGCGATAACTTTGACTTTGGTCGGTTCGAGTTTCACGGAATCCATCTTCATCCGTGGACCACGGTTCGTTCTAAGGACTCGTGGTTTCCATCTTTGGAAAATCCTTCCGAGTTTCTTCTCGATCGACGAACCTCCGAGTTCTGGGACTGAAACGAACGGAAAACGTCGAGGTTAGAATTTGGACGGCGCGGAACGGTGGACTTTGTGGGAACCGTGAGATTCCTACGTCTGTAAAATCTAACGACTTTCCAGTTCAACCATACATTTAATTTTGCAATTTCGTCGATTAATTTTATCAACGCGATGTTAAATATTAAATAAGTTTTCTAATTTTAACTCGAAACACGTAAACTGGTGAGAACCTTTTGTTCCAGGAAACTTTGACGAGGATAAAAATTATGCTTCGTAATGTACACGGCGTGTGGAAAAGAAGGGTTCTGGGAATAGAGGTCTCCAGGCGTACCAGTGACTTTTTAATGGGATTTCTGCACAGTGAAACTAATGATACCTGGGTTTTAGGGAAGGTTAATACTTTACGAGATATTTAATGTTAAACGGTTAGCTACATTCATCCGTTGAAATACTACTTAACTTAACAACTATGGCCGTAACGTAGACTGCTAGGCGTTTGCCAGCCAAATCGATGTTCTTTTCCCACTGGTTCGAGCACCATTGGGACTTTTCTCGTACAAAATGAATCTTTTTCTCGTTACTACGTCTTCTTTATTGCATACTGCATTACTTCTATTTCAATTTTTTAATCAATCCTTTTATCCACGTTGCAATTCGTACTCTGTTGATATTTAAGGTTAGGTTTCCTATGGAAACTTTATAACCCGTCTTCGCAATTGTAATGGAATAAAAAAATAGTTTCAGTGTTTATTTACTGCGTCTACAACGCTGAACAAATCAACAATAATAAATAAACGTTGAAACAATTGAAAAAATGCTGCGGAATCGTTCCAAGGCTGCGTCTGATAAATTATTCATTCCGGCTTGTTTCATATCACGCAATACATAAACGGTGGAAGAAAAATAACCAAAACTAAATATACACAGTCCACTAAAAATTGCAACACCGATAAAAATCAAGGAGTTTGAACGCCAACGATAAAATACGAGAATGTTTTGTTAGAGAACGCGTGGAACTGAAATAACGTAACGAGATGGCGCGGTCGACACAGCTAACTATCGAAATGAATATTTAAGGTTAGGTTCCCCATGGAAATTATATAACCTGTCACGACAATTCGTAAAAAATAAGAAAATAATTTCATTTCTTTTTTACCGTATCTGTAACACTGTACGACTGTATAAGTACAAAATACTTATTTATTAAGAATAATAAATATACGTCGAAACAATTTAAAAGATGTTGCAGAATCGTTCCAAGACTGCGTTTGATAAATTAATCGTTTCAACTTGTTTTATATCACGCAATACATAAACGATGGAAGAAAAATAACCGAAACTAAATATACACAGTCCAATAAAAATTGCAACACCGATAAAAATCAAGGAGTTTGAACGCCAACGATAAAACACGAGAATGTTTTGTCAGAGAACGCGCGGAACTGAGACAATGTAAACCAGATGGCGTAGTCGACGCCAGGAGTAAGTCGAAAAATTAACGTCGCCGTAGATGGAAGCGATTTTCTGTTTAGATAACGTCGCCGACGTCCTCCTTCGTCGAGGAAAATAACGTCTGTATTATTATACAGAGTGTCTAGAACGAAAAGATATCGACTCGAGACAGAAGAAGGAAGAAAAGTTCCGGTAAACATACATTTGGAAATGTTCCCCCGAAGAGTTATTGCTGGGGAAACTTTACGTAATACATTTTACCGGGGATACTGAGAAAATTGTAGTAAATAAAACTCGCGGACGTTCTTTGCGTACGTGGACGATGATTTATTGGAAAAGTTGATCGAAATGTCTGCCACCCTATGACAGATATTTTTTTTGTATATTTAACGATACATGTGTATTTATTGGGACGAAATTTTCGTCGATGCGAATGATTTTATGGAACCGTTGGACTGTTATTTATTCGGACTATGTAAACATCCGAAGAGGAACGCGAACGAAAGCATATTTATGTCCAGTCGTCGTCGTTATCTGTGTCAGGTAGCGAAGATAGCGATAATGAATTAGTTTCCAGACGTATCAACGCCCTCCATTTTTTAAATACGGCCATTAATGGCTGACAACCCTGCCAGGTGCAAATAAAATAAATTCACGGTGTTTGGAATTGCGCTAATATTTTGTTATGTATTTTCTATTCACACTCGATGTTTACTGAACGATAACATTATTTATGTTTGCGATCTTTACTGCTGCGACTGAACGAAGAATTCTAATAATAATAATCGTGTTTAATTAATGTTAGAACGAATTGTTCTTGCGTTTTAATTTAAGAAGTTAATTTCATCTTGCTTTGGCGAGTAGAAAATGCATGTCAAGCGATTGGGAACAAAGCCAGGGAATTTTTGAAAGAGTATGCACTTTCCTCTGCGAAGACGTAAAGCGTGGGTGGAGGTGGAAGGGGAATATTTAGATCACTTTTTGTAGATACGGAAGCGGAATGCTGGAAGATAATCGTTTGCTCGCAAACTGCGTGCAATTAAGGAAAGAAAACAAATCATTTGTACTATAAAAATCACAAAATTGTTCTTAACTATTACGAGATTTATGTTTCTTGTTACTTTTGGTTCTCCCAACGGGATATACAGGGTGTTCGACCAGCAATGGGAAAAATTTTAATGGGGGATTCTAGAGGCCAAAATAAGACGAAAATCAAGAATACCAATTTGTTGACGGAGGCTTTGTTAAAAAGTTATTAACGTTTAAAGTTCCGACCTTACTGAATTTTTTTCTCGAAAATGCGCAGGATTTCGGGGATATGTCTATTCACCAAAAATGATTGTAATAGTCTCCCACAACCGAAAATAATTTTTCTAGAGCAATTTGAAATTTTTTTTTTTCGTTGAAAAATTTTGGGCACCTAATTAGATTTTCGGTAAGGAATTTTTTTCTCGAAACTGCCTAGGATTTCGGGGATATGTGTAATGACCAAAAATGATTGTAATCGACCCCCGCAACCTAGAATAATTTTTCCAGAACGATTTGAAATTTTGAATTTAATTGTTAATAACTTTTTAATGGAGCCTCCATCAACAAATTAGTATTCTTGATTTTCGGCCTATTTTGGCCTCTAGAATCTCTCATTAAAATTTTTCCCAGGAGTGAACACCCTGTATATTTGCTTGGTCCGATTATTCGGTTCAAGATTTTTGAATTAACAGTCACTTTAATGGTCAATGTGAAAGTATAGTGTTTAGATTGATCGAGACATCAAGCTTCCTAGGAACGAATAAACGTACCATCTTTTTCCGTGATGGAGGAAATATCGATTTACTAGGAACATTTATACCTACTTACAAAGTACAGAGAAATATCATTCCAAAGCGATTAAATGGAAACAGTCACTCGAACTCCCAGTTAAATATGATTATAACAAAGGAATATATTATACGCTGCTTCCGGTGAAATGTCTGATATCGACCCTATTTACTGATAAATCTTTTTTAACTATAAATAAACCGTGTTACTGGATCTAATATACTTAAACGTCACTCAACAACAACAAAAATATATTTTTCTTCTTAATAGAAATTTTTTTTTTTTCGCAGTTAAATTCGATCCAAAAATGTTTAAACGCGGAACTCGAGGTTAATGGTTAAAGCTTCTACGAGACAAAATATATTTGTAATTTTGAAAACTTTGAAAAGAAATTGTTGAAAACAATATAATCGAATATAGGAATTAATTTCAATTTTCAATATTCTGTAAAAATAAAGTGAATTTGTAATTTTGAAAATTCTGAAAAAAAATTGTCCAAAAATAATCGAAAGGTAATTCGATCAAAAATAGAAATTAAATTCCACGATTCAATTTTCAATGTTCAGTATCGAGGTTCGATTTTTTTAAAAAAACGACAAGGACATTCGATGTGCATAAGTTTGCATCTCATTATCGGCGTACAGCACCCCTGGATGAACGTCCTTGTTTATTTTACAACGTAAGTTCGGCTACGCAAGCAAGAAAATATAGGAAACCAGTGACAACGTTGATGATAAATATTGATACAAGTCTAAAGCTAGCGAAGAACGACCGATAATTGTTTAGAACGAATTGGAACGAAACGAACGCCACGAATAGCGTGAAAACAATAATGTCGCGTCGCCCAGTTAAACCAACGATTATTTTCGTTCGTTATTCGTTAACAAAATAAAAAGTACAGTCGAGGAACAAATGAAAAAACAATAGGCTTGGATAAATAGGATTCATGGCACCTTTTGAATTTAATACTGTTTTTAATTTATCGTTATACGTAATATAATAATTCTGAGATGTGGTATAAATAAATGTAGCAAAGTTAAATGCAATTAAAAGTCGTTGAATCCTGTTACCATTCTTGTTTTCAACGCAGCGACGACAGAATTGTCGCCCCGGTTCGTTTAACATTGAACAAACAAATATCTTTGACATTTGCATTGTGTCCTTAAACGCGGGGAAATTAATCGATCAAATACCTCGGTTGAAAAATAGCAACGATTAAATGTTACGGACACGTTTGGAAATTCTTGGAAGCGTGATTTTCGGGATAACGATATAATAAAATATTAGGTTAGGAACAATTACGTTCTCAGCTCGACATCGTGACTTTGATAATTTAAATACGAGATCCTTAAAGAGATACGTCTCCGGAGCTGAATCACGAGGCGGTAATTGAAAAGGAAAAGTCACGAGTAACTGTTAAATTAGCAGAATTTGTTTTCCGCGGAAAATTCTCAACTCGTTCGAGAAAGAGTCTCGCGAGGCCCAGGAGCATCCAGAAAAATAAATTTACAATTTTAACAAATATTGTAATTTTATTTAGTAAATATTGTAAATAGTCCGATGATAAAAGTCTCTCAAAAAGAAGGAACTCTTTATAAAGGATTAAAAAGAAATTTCAAAATCAAAAAATACGAGGGTAGTTTCCCAGTGATTTCGAAAACGAAAGAAACCGGGAAGGAAAACACCGACGAGTCACTAGGCTGGACCTCCTATGCCTTAGAATTATGAAACGAGGAAAATAGATCGTTAATCGCTTCGAGGACAAAAAGATCGATAAAACGATGTTAGCGTACGAAACGAGGGTCTGAAAGCGACGGACGGCGGAGGAAGCGACGTTTAAGCGAATCGTCCGCCGATCCGTCTAGTCCTGCACGAGGGGAGGAAGAGGGTAGAGAGCCGAGGAAGAATCACCTGGAACATAAAACGCGACGTCCGTACGCGTATATTCGAATCGTCGTCGCGGCAATCGATTCGCAACGCGATTTCACGGGAACTTCCCCCGTTGCTCGTCAGCCGGAAGAAGCTGGTGCACCGTGTACGCGTCCGTGTTCCTGTTCCCTTTTCCTCATCTCGCGTCGTGCGGACGTGAGTCGAGAGGACGCCCCGTTGGCGCGCACATATCCTCAACGGCACATCTCCTTCGCTGCACGAGAATGTCGCTTTATAAACTACGGCGCGTGTCTGTCTGTCTCTCTCTCTCTCTCTCTCTCTCTCTCTCTCTCTCTCTCTCTCTGGCGACGGGTTAACCGTTACTCGCGGGCGCGCGCACAACGATTCACGACGACGAGGGCGTTCATCCGCGCGGCCAACGGTTCCCGGTGGACCAGGATTTTCGGCTAGGATCCCTACTGGCCGCCGTTCCCGTCTTCTATCTTTAGAACCTCTCCCGGGGCTCTGGACGTGAACGCGACGACGGAGAGAGATATCGGGAGGCGCGCGCGACCGCTGTGTGTGGCTTTCAGCCCAGACAAGCCGAGACTGAGCCACCAGTAACAAGTGCCTCAGGACGAGCATGCACATGCGCAGCCACCTTCACCCCCTTGTCTTTTCGGCCTCCCCCGTTCCCCTCCCGCCCACCCCTTCTCTCTTCTAGCCCGCCATCAACGCGCCTCGATACAACCTGCGAACAATTAATCGAGCATTTTGCATTTTCCTTCGCTGGACCGATGTGCTTTTCTTCCCCGCCTACAACCCCTCTCTGGGGATGTGTGTCCAGCGACAACATGGACACTTGGGGGTAGAGGGCTGGAGGGACGGTGAGGGTGCTCGAGAGCGAATTCCCTTCTTTTTGGAAACACACACCGTTCTCTCCCTCCGGCGTAATTCTTTGGGGTGATTTCGATTTTTGTGAATCGGAGGGTTGCAAAAAGTCGATTGGTAGACTGTTTTTTTTTCAGAGACTCCGGTTAGGTTTTTTATTAGGGACTGAGACTATGGTTTCTGATTCTCTTGGAAATTTTATTGTAAAGTGTCTATTGTTTTTGTTTGAAAAAAGTGTTTTTTTAGTTCGATTTTAAAGAGTGTAGGAGATTTTTATTGGTGACTAGACACCCCTGTTTTATATTATTTCAAATTTTTTTCTTGGAGACTAAAACACCCCTTTTGTACTATACTAGATAAGGTTTTTATTAGTGAATATAGATTCTATATTTTATATTATTTTGGATTTTGTTAGAAACTTGGTAATATGGTCTCTTTTTGCTGTATGGAGGAAGTAACGAGCGAAGTAGCGGGAAGAAAGTAAAGAAGAATCGTTTCGGACTAGCAGACCCCGCGTTGGACGCCAGAACACTGAATGGTCCGTCGAGGAACTTGTATACAGGGTGTCCGGCCACCCCTGGGAAAAATTTTAATGGGGGATTATAGAGGCCAAAATAAGTCGAAAATAAAGAATACCAATTTGTTGATGGAGGCTCCGTTAAAAAGTTATTAACGTTTAAAGTTCCTGTACATCCAATTTTAGGTCAATATTTCTAACCTTACATTATATTTTCGGAAAAGAATTTTTTTCTCGAAAGTGCGTAGGATTTCGGGGGTACGTCTATTCACCAAAAATGATTGTAATTGATCCCCGCAGCTGAAAATAATTTTTTTAGCACGATTTGACATTTTTTAATTTCGACGAAAAATTTGTCCATCTTCTCGAATTTTTTTCTCAAAAATGCGTAGGAATTCGGGGGTATGTCAATTCACCAAAAACGATTATAATTGATCCCCGCAACTGACCATAATTTTTTTAGGACGATTTGAAATTTTTTAATTTAATTTTTCGACTGTTGGTCGAGCACTCGTGAGAGAGAAAAATCGAGCGTGGCCCTCTGCTGGGGAGAGAGGTGGCGCCACCTGACCCAGACCTAACCTTAACCCCTTGACGTACGATGTAATTCCAAATAATTTACATATAGTGTTTAATTTTGTTTAAATTTGTTTCTACAATAGCCACCGAAAAGAATAGATTCGTTTTAGGAATACCTCGTGAATGTAAAAATGCGACTTTAAGAATTCGAATTAGATCGCAATCTTAAAGGACAAAGTATTCGACCATAGTTCTTAAAATTCAGTCTATGGTGTTGCAAGTGACTGTTGGCAATAATCCACGTTTCGAAGATAACAATCTACAGGTGAACGTTAGCCATTCGACGATCGTCCGTCGCTTGGCAAAGATTGGCAAAGGAAGATCGATAAGTGGGTTTCGCCTAACTTGAGCGACGTTTAAAGGCTTAAGTGCATGGGAAAGTCGCATCGATATTATCGAGAAGCAAATGAAATCCGTGCATCGAACAAATCACGTCGCTTGTTACAAGTCGGAATAAATATCTCGATAAAAACAAAATGGAACTCTTCGTTCTAAAAGCGTTCGAAAAAAATTCATCTTTGTAACAATTTAAATTTACCCTCATCGGTCTTGAAATCTATCTTGTGCGTGCTAATTGCAATTGTTTATTAACGAACGTGGAAATTAATAATTACGATTATCGAGCGATCAATAAATGATTGACAGAATAAATCAAAGCGATCGTAATCATTAGTTTATTTCATTTATAATTTCAATCGGTTAATGGGAAGTTGGTACGTATTAAATAATCAAACGAACAGATTGTTTATTCGTATATTAATTTCATTATAATTCCGTGTATATACCGTAGCAGTATCTCATTAGATTATTACAAATTACTGATCAATTACTTCAGATTACAAATGTAGCTCGTGATTACCGATCGGTCCAGATGATGGTGATGATTAATTGTTTAATAACTGCTATAACTACTTCATTAATCTAACACAAAAGTGGGTAATTAATTAACTCTGCTCTGTCTAGCATAATCTATCTCAGACGCCAGGATCGGTGGTTGGTCGAGGAATGTACATATTATATACAGGGTGTACCATTTGAATCAAATCACAGCATCGATGCAACGGAAGGTAAGTGAAATTTGTAAAATGTACATCAATTTTAGTTGCAGTTAACTTTAATTGACATAGAAAATATTTAAATTGCAATTAGAAAATTAATTGTTAGTTTACAGTTGCGCGAGACAATTAACTCTTCCTTGGCGATGGACGAACGAGGTTGGAACGAGCACGGATTACTCGTCCAAATCGGATTACGAGAAACACAAACACACAGACACGCATTCGACAAACAAAATTCTATTTGGAGAGCAACGGGGGCAAATTAATTCTTTCGTGCGAATTAAGCGGTTCGAGGAAAGCTCGAGCAACGTTTTATCATTTCTTTTTATTTTATTACAACCTTATTCGTTACATCGAAATAGGGAATCGAAACGAATGGAAATTACTTTCTCCGGCGAAATCTTTCTATTTGCAAATAGCAATTAGGAATTCCAAAGTGTTTTTAAATGTTCTAAATTGCGCCTTTGGAACACCCATTGACTCCTTCGGAAATAACCTCTCTCGAATGTCTGTTAACGTTAGTGGAGAAATCGATGCAACGAGGAAGTCTAGCAAATACTGAAACTGTCTGTTGATTTCTCCGGAGAGCGCAAACAGGGTAACTTTATAGACAAAATACACCAAGAAAATCATCACCGAGCTTAGAAGCGCGTATTTCTAAAGAGAATCGAACCACTGTAAAACACATGTCTCCAAACACATCTGTAAAATCCGTTTTAATTCTCCGCCATGTTTAACTAACATACGTACAACGAAACAAAGATTCGAGTAAATATTAGCTCGACTGCTATGCAAACGACGTATATAACAGTTATTTTATTGGTAAATCGTTTAGTTTAAAGGAAGTTCCGACGGGAATTGTGATGCGTATCGGGTCAAAGGTTTCTTACGAGGTCGACCAAGCAAAAATGTGGTTCACATTCTCCTCACTTATGGCACCGCATTCCCCTTAATCCGGGACTGATCTTTCCAGCTTCCTACCTCGCGAGCACACGAGTGGACGAACCAGAGAGACACTCGTGTCCCGAGTATGTTACGTCTTTTGTGTCGCCGACAGAGTCGTCTTAAGAGAGCCCGGGAGTCGTCTCTTAGGGACGATTCGCTTTTGTTTCGACAACTCTAATGACAAGAGATAGAAACTATGAGAGGTTAGTGGATCACGGGACGGAGAATTAACGGATACAGCGCTGGTGCAATGAATAAAATGCACTTTATTGCAAGTTAACGGGTATAAGAAATAGTTTGGAACGTATAACCACGCGCTACTGGAAGAACGATCTGAGCGAGACTGCCGGTCGACTCGCGAAAGACGTCACGTGACCGACTTAGTTTCTTAAGTAGCGCAGAGAGGTCTCCACTGGAGGATTTTATATCGATGATCTCGCAGAAACGTTTGTACCGTTTCTTTTTGTACTTGGAAGAATGTTTCCCCGTAAAGAAGCGTTTTGAAAGTGGTACATTTAATACGAATCCACGACACCAACTGTTGAACATGCAAACGCGCCCTATCTTTCTTTCTGGGTATTTCTTTTTGTCCTGCTTCTAGACTCTTCTTGGATCGAGTCTCACCACGTGTTGTACTGCTGTATTTTATTTTATAAATAAATCTTGCTATTTTGTCTTTTACTTAATCTGGGTGAAGAGCGTTGTTCGAACCTACGAACCAACACCAACCATACTAGATTCCAGTCGTTTCTCGTCGTACGGAATTATTTTTCTCCCCGTCGTTGTTCGTATTATTTAAATAATTTTTCAGTCCACCGTTATCTCTGCTGGCACGGGACAGGATGGAAAGGTTAGAGTTTAACCCAGCACGACGTAAATGACACCTGTCTCCTCTGCGAGCGCAAACATTGATCGGGTTGCCTGATATCTCCTGCGTTCTGATTTCGCGTAGATACGGGACCCTCCGACAAAGTCAAATTTCAAAATCGATCATTTGCTCTCGCGAGAATAAACGAGGGTCTTCCTAACGTTGTTGCAGAGTGTACTTCTAGCAGAGTGTTACGTTCGAACGAAAATCTCAAAAAGTGGAGGAACCAAAAAAATACACGAGAAAAAAAATTCGAGGCACTTAAACATCGAAAAATTTATTGAAAACGGTTATAAATTTTTCGTTTAAATATTTATCTCAGTTCACCTATTCCTCCTTCCTCGATAAATTTCACTTTTCCGATAACGTTTGTCTCTATGTAGTCCGATAACATGACAGATCCTCCTCCGCGTTTTATCGTCGAGCAGATATTACCTTTCTGGTTTCCAATATTTATCTGTTTCCGTACCAATTTGATTTCCCATCGTCGCGACGGAATAAATTAATTTTTAGTACGACGACGAAGGAAATTTTTAGTTAAATATGATTGCTATTTTGGGAATATTCCGATTATAAATACTAATTTTCCAATTAAAAATCCTTTCACTGGCCTCGATCTCGAAGAAGACAATTATTTGGAATAGTTCAAATTTTTTATCAGAACAAAATAATAAAATTTACGAATTAATTTGAGGTTATGAAGGGAATTTTTAGTTAAACATGATCGAT